GGAGAACGGCCGTTCACCAGCGGCCAGAGTCCCGGGCCCCCCACCCCCTGCCCGGGCTTTAGAGCGGCCACTGCTCGCCTCGCCCCGTGCCCCTGCCGCTGCCCAGGCTGACTGCACACGCCTAGCGCCCACAGCTCGCCCCCAGGCCCAGCCCGCAGTGTCTCTGCGCCAGCCAGTCCCAGAGGCTCCCGGCTTCCCAGAAAGGGCCCCTTGCTGGCAGTCAGGCCTCCTGCACGAATTTGCCCACCAACCGGCCCGGCCTCCTCTTTTTTTTTTTAAAGATTCAAAAAAAGTTTTTGCAAACAAGAACAGGGGTACAGGCCAGAAGTGTGGGAGTGAGAGGATTCACCAGAGCAGGCAGATTGAGTGAAATACAGTGCTGAGGGGAGCAGCGGGGAGACAGGAGAGGTCTGGGGCTCCCTGGCTGGGGCGCGAACTCACACCGTGGTGGCTGCGGACAGCTTCACGGTGCTGCGCTCTAACCTGCTGCGCCACCAGGGAGGGCCCGGCCTCCTCTTTGACACCAAAGACTGAGCTGCTGCTCCTGCCTCCCCTCCTGCCTGCTGCTGGCAGGTTCCAGGGCAGAGCTCGGACAAGTCTCCCGTGGGCCCACGTCACTTCTCCGTGGCCAGCCCACCTCTCGGCCTCCCCAGCGCTGGCTCTGGCTGTGGTCCCAGCGACGGGCCAGCAGGGCTCTCCCCTGGTTCTGGGCATGGGCAGGTGCTGACCCTGCCCAAGCCAAACGGGCCATCTCCCTGGGTGCCCGAACTCCTCTCTTGGATGCTGGGGTGGGGCTCTGTTCCTTCTAGAAGAGGCAGCGGTTGCTAGGCCTCCAAGAACAGCTGCCCCCTCTGGCCCCGGGACAGGTGTGTGACTGGCGGAGTCGTCCCTGGAGAGAGGCCCACTCTCAGGCAAAGGGAGAGGAACCCGCCGCAGACATCCCTGCTGGACGCTTGCACCCTGGGGTGTGAGGTGTGTAGGTGCAGGAAGGGCACCCCACTGGGGACTCGACAGTCCTCCCCTCCCCGCCCCGCAGGGTCCCTGCAGCTCGGAGGTGCGGACTGCCTTTGGGGGGGCGGGGCTGGCGCCTCCAGCCTCAGCGCCCGCCTCACCTCTCCTTGATCGCTGCAGGGACCTACCGGATGGAGCACGGCTTTGAGACGCAGCCCAGAGCCCCCAGCCCCGGACCCTCCTTCTCCCGCGGCCACCGGCTGGGGTGCCCCGCCCGCTCCTCCAGGCTCCCGGGAGGGGGTTCCGCGCTCACCCCTGTCCTCAGGAAGACCATTCGTCTGGACTCCTTCCCCCAAAGCCACATCCCACAGGCGCCCGGCCGCCAGGGCCTCGGGGCCAGGGCCCGCAGCGTGCCCCCGCGCGAGTCCGGGGACAGCCCGGCGCCCAGGAAACTCAGCTCCATCTCCCTGACGCTCCGCCAGAACAGCCAGGCGTGGCCGCTGCACCCCCTGCCTTCTCCCTGGGGAGAGCTGCCCACTCTGGGCCAGGAGGCCGCCATCCATGGGAAAGGAAAGCTGTCCACTCCGGGCTCATTGTCTGTGTCCCTCGTGCCGGGGAGCAGGGTCCGGCCCGAGGGCCCAGAGAACCCACCTCTGGCCAAGCCCAGCCGGATGCCACTGGTGGAGAAGCCGCTGGTCAGTTCCTACCTGACCCTCCCCTTCCAGTCCCGACTGACCCAGAGCCCACCAGGCCCACTGGGGCAGGGCTTGGTGAGTCAGCGGCACCTGGTCCCGGCGACTGTCCACGTGCCCGCCAGGGCCGCCCCAGGACGAGGCAGGAGCCGGGCCAGGGGCCTCCCGAGGCCCCGGCTGCATCTGCAGAGGCCCACCCTGGCCAGCCTTGTCCTGGCACCCGCGATGGCCGTGGACTCGGCTACTCTGGACACAGCGGGGTCAGGCCCAGCCCGGCCCTCAGCTGCAGTGGCCACCCACAGACCCCGCCTGGCTGTCGGTCTGGTCACCACAAGCACATCCAGAGTGGACGCGGGCACAGAGCTGCCTGCTCTGGAGACCAAGCCGGGCTCAGCCTCAGACTTGTCTGTCGTGGGCACCGGCATGGCCGGCATGTTTGCGGACCTGGCACTCCCGGACCCAGACAAGCTGGGCACAGCCACAGCGAAGGCAGATACCACCGCTGGGACCGTGGCCACGGGCTGGGCCGCACCAGGCCCAGCCAAGCCAGGCACAGCCAGGTCCGACACGGCCGTGGTTTGTGCCCGAGCAAACACCATCACGCTGCACGTGCCAACAGACCCTGTTGCTCTGGATAGGACCAGGCTGGGCCCAGCGCTGGGCTGGGTGATGCCAGTCCTCCCATGCCCAGCCACGGGGGACTCTGCCACCGAACCCCTGATGCCGAACAGAAGCACAGACCAAGCTCTGGACTGCGCAGCCGCGGCTGCCACAGTGGCCCAGGCCAGGGAAGCCACAGGTAAACGCCAAGCGCGGTGGGGGACCCGGGGTGCGCGGGCCTGGGGCTGTTTGCGCTGGGACAGGCAGGCAAGGCCGCAGGGAGACCAGGGTCAGGGCCAAACGTGCGGGAGGACCTGGGGTCGAGCGGCGGACAAGGCAGGTGCGGAGGCACGGGGGCTGGGTCCCGCCTGGCGGGGGGAGCTGAGGGGAGACACCAGCAGTTTCCAGGGTAGCTGGGGAGGAGCAGCGAGGCCGAGCTGCGCTGCGAGCCCCTCTGTGGCTCCCTGGCGCTCTGAAGAGCTGGCCGGGTCAGGAGAGTGGCAAGTGTCTGCTCTACCCGCAACCCCCTTCTGGGGAAATGCAGAGCAGGAAGTAGCCACGCGGTGACCTGCCCAGCGCAAGCTGTCACCGCAGCGCTTCTCTCCAGGTGAACCTCACCTGAGGCCTAGGGCTGTTGCCATGCACGCATCCCATCCGGTAGTCTCCCGGGCTCTGCCCCCCGCCCGCGAGCATTGAGGGGCAGACCGGCTCGCTGCTTGCAATCAGGTCAGTGCAGAGCGGGGTCCCTCTGGCTCAGAGAGGCTGGGGCCGCCTCAAGTCGGGGGCAGCAGTAGGCTGGCCATTCCCGGATGCTGGGTGTCCCTTGGAGAGTCATCCTCGACACTGCAAAGCTCAGATTCTGGGGTGCTGCCCACCGGCTTCCCTGGGGCTTTCTGGTCTCTGGCTCTGCCCACGCTGGGGGGCTCAGCTGCTCTGGTCTTCACTCCCCCTGCAACCGTGGCTCCCCCGCCCCTTCAGCGCTGAAAGGCAGGTGTGGCCAGCCAGCAGGTGCCTGAGGCATCGGCCGCTCCGCTGGCCTTGCTGTCTCGGCGGCTGGCACCCCTAGAGCAGAAACTGGTATCCCCCTCTTTCCTTTCTCTCCAGTCTGTTTCCAGTTCTGCCCGGTCCCCTCCTCAGTACCTGTCTCCTCTCCAGTCCCCGCCCGAGGTTCCCCCACCCTGGGTCCTCAGCAGGGACCCTTGCACTGGACCATGCCTGTCAGCTGTGACTCCCCATGATGCTGTCAAGGCCCAGCTTCCCAAGCTCCTTCCCCGCTTTGCAGCCCCCCTTCACCCCGAGATCACATCGCTGTCTGGAAGTTCCCTGCTTGGGTGGCACCGGGCACTCCCAATGGGCAGCAACCCCCCTTCACCC